AGTTATGATGTATAGACATTGAATTGCCAGAAAGATGAAACATGTGGCTGGAAAATGTCCCAGGTCTATATTTGTTTTGCTATAATAAGCCTTAATTCAGCATAAAAAAAGAGTTTCTCAAGATCATTAGATACAATAAGGGCAATTCTGTTGTACCCAATTAATCTAGGAGAAAATGAGGAGAGTAGCCAAGACCAAAGATGCTAACATTAGTACCCTTTGACTACCTGGATAAGGCTCAAACATTACTTATTTTATGACCTTGCTGGTCCCATTAAGTGCAGCCAATGGAATAGTCCTTAATAAAAATTGGTTACGCTGTGCAATCTGTACGCATGGTGCATAGAGTCAGATTGCAATGTATCAGCTAAATCTTAGAGAATTTAGATAAATGTCTTTTTTTTATTCTTTTAAATCGTAAGGGAAATTAATAGATAGTGCAGTTGATATGACAAATGAAGTAAGCATGATTCTTGAAGCAAAATTGTTTGATATGTAATATGAGTAGACTCTGTTAAAGTTACTGATGCCTGCTCAATGTATACACTTGTCAACTGAGAATTAAGGGGGCAACTTTCAACTGTTGTTCAAAGAAAAACATTTTAAAATCACTAAGGACCTAATTAAACCCACTCTCTGGTAAGGTCACTGTGTTGGTATATGCGCTCAGTGAAGAGAAAAGAAAAAACAAATTTCTCATTTGTCTGAATCAATAGTTATTAATTTGAGAGGCTGTGTTTACTTTGATCAAAACAAATCCTATGTCACAGCATATTAGGTGTTATCTATCATGTTCAGAGTGCAGTCTACCTGTTTACGGCTGCTGCAAAGCTTTTCTTACGTCGTGCACCAACTGTGACGTCCAACATTCATCTTGTTGGCAGTACCTTTGTCTCAGATCAGCCTGCGTACCGTACCAATACTGATTGGCTGTCATGAGTAACCAGGCGGAAGATATTAAGTGACTGTGTCGTTGATTTTCTTATTTATTTTGTTTATTTATTTATTATTTTTAGAGAAGAGATCAGTCTCTGAGGAGACAGTCAACTTAATCATGTTGATTACAACAATGGTTAGAGACATCAACCCTTTATTTTTGTAATGTATTAGTGAATTTGTGAGTTAAGGGAGTAAATTCGAGATAAGATAAGCTCAAGAAAGGCAAGAACTATGAAGTCAGTCATTTTACTACGCCATGGCTGGGAAGGAAACTGACTTGTTTTAATGCAATTAAAATGATCACATTACCTTTAACCAAATGGCTCATAATTGTTAAACAAAAAGTCATGCAGGAAAGGTTTTCGCTGTTCATTCTGCATTAAAAAACATCTCAAACATCACTGCTATCCTTTTTATGATTTCCCTTTTAATACAGTTTCAGGCAATTTCCATAAGGAGCAGTTCTTGGACTTCATGCAGGCCAGGCCACCAAATGCATTCTCTGTCCACTAATCGTTTTTTTTTTTTTTAATTTAAAAAGGCCTATTATTTGATGTATAAAGTTTTTAGGAAGGGTACCAAAAGTTATGGAAGTATATGTATGTTTCTGTGGAGCTACCAGTGCTGTCTAGTAAATATACCCTGTTCATTATTGATGAAAAACTTTAGTTACTGTGTCGGCATATTTTCTCGACAGAATAACTGCGATGAAGAAAAAAAAAGAAAAAAAAAAAAAAGAGTGTGTGTGTGGGCAGCCCATGTCTTGCCTTCTAGAAAGTGCCCAGCAGTAAAATCTGGAATTGTACAAAAGCTGCCAGCCTCCTATTCCCCTTTTTTGCAAGCCACTGATCACAAGCAGAGTAATTTTACAATGGCTACTTGCGTCATCTCTGTTACATCCCCTGCTCCGACAGTCCGAGACAGCTGACACAGCATTTGTCTTCCTTGGCATTTGGGCGTGCAAAGTAGCTATTGTTTCACTGCATACTCTGTATTTCAGCAATTACTTGCAGTTTCTTTATATACGCAGGCTTATTGCACAACTTACATTAACCCGCATCTTTTTGAAATCAATTAATCTAACCTAGAATTCAAATGGGGCGTCTTTTATGTGTAAAACCTGTTGTTCTGGTGACAGTGACAGCAGACTAAATGCCTACATTGTCTACTGTATAATTGTTGATCATGTAGCTTTTGTTGCGTTGCGTGTGTGTGTGTGTGTGTGTGTGGATGTGTGTGTGTGTGTGTGTGTGGAAGGATCTGTCGCAGCCATTGCACCATTCCATACAAATGGAGATGATGCATTCTGTTTTTCCGTCACAGGACAGTAACTTCCGATTTTCCACACCCACCATCAAGTTGGGCACAGCTGCATAGGTCTGCACGCTTGTGTGTGGGGCAAAAGAAATGGCTGGTGACAGCATAATGTGAGAATAAATACCTAATCAGGCTTGAATCATGAACTGCAGTGCACAAATGCACATGTCGCTCTGCTGTTGATCCTGCCAACAGTAAAGTCAAGTACCAACGAGGTGTTTTTGTCCCAGTATGGATTTTTTCTTCTTTTACTTCAAGTTATAAGTTTTATCGGTGACACTTCAAATCTAGTTTTGCTTTTTCAGTAAATCCCTGTTCATCTTTCTCAGCTAAGAATGAGGATGACGAACTAAATTTTGAGTTTTAAAACAGCACATTAAGTGAACATGTAACCTTTTGTTTTATCCAAATACCTTCCCCAAGGCCGGAAGTCATTACAAATGTTTCTTCCCAGAAGGGTCCGGTCCATATGCTAATATTCCTCAGTAGTTAAGGATTTTCAACTCAAATCCCCTCCTCATGGCGTAGCAATTATAACAGTGTGCTTTGCCTTCATGGAAGTAGACATCACCCCCTGTAGTGAGCTTCCCACAACAGATGCTTTGGAGTCTTTTCCACAGACCATTGGCGCCCAAATGAACTAAAGAAAACAGGCACTGTGTGGATTGGGTCTGGAGTAGTTGCACTTATCTTTGTTTTTCTCCTTATTTATCTATATTCCTGCATCATTCAGTTTCATGCAACGGGCCATTTTCTACTGAAAATAACAAACGTGGGTAAAATTATATCTACTTGTCATAATGACAGACCAAAAAATGCACGGTTTGGTTTCTCAAAATGCTGTTCTAGAATGATAAGCTGCAATCCAGCTGTGCCATATTTATTGTAGTGAAAAAGGTATTTTTGGACAAGGATAGCACTAAATAATATATAATATATACTGAAATAGCATGGTATTTCCTCGTGCAGCTCATAAATGCTACTCTGACAATTTCAGTGGTGGCTCAGTCTGTCTCCCCTTCCTGGGTCATTTTTTTGGGGGCTATGAATAAAGGAGAATACTTTAGAACTGTATAATGCATATTCCAAATGCCTATGGTAAACATAGTTATCTTTTTGGTACCATTTCTCAGTGCTTATATTGGGGTGTTCAAGACCTTAGTGTGTGTGTGTGTGTGTGTATATATGTATGTATATATATATATATATATATATGTATTGAAAAGGTTTTGCCCTTGTGTTAAAAACACAAACACAGCATTTTATATACACACACTTGTGTCGTGTTGATGTACTCTCTCTGTCTCTCTCTCCCTTTATATATATATATATATATATATATATATGTGTGTGTGTGTGTGTGTGTGTGTGTGTGTGTGTGTGTGTGTGGGTTGGGCTGTTTTTTTTT